ACAGATGTCGGTCTCCCGCCAGACAAGCACGACAAGGGCTACCGCAAGGTGACAAGAGTCATGGATATGGACGGCAAAGAAGGGCTCCTGGCACACCTCGGATGTCTGCGGGCCGAGACGTTTGACCCCAAGAAGTGGCACAGCAAGGGCTATGTTCTCAAGGGCTCGATCCGGACCAATGGCCGTTTGCTACAGCTGCTGGCATTTAAATTGAAGGAGCTGCAGTCTGTCAGGTACCGCTGTGTTCCCGAGGACAGGTTGCCCAACCCGCTCGTCACCGCCATCGGCGGCACCAACAGTTACCTGACCGAAGCCCGCAATGTCTTCTCCACAACCGCAGATGTGGAGAGCCTATTGGCTGCTGATCCGAATCAGGTCGCGGTACTGTCGCTCGATTCACCATCTGCCAGGAGCGCACAGGACTTACACAGGTGTCGTGGGTGCCTGGACACAGCGGAGAGGAGTGAAACGAGATGGCGGATAGAGCGGCAAGGACGCCCAGATGACCACAGACAAGACATGGACAATGGATGAACATGCACAATCCGAGATACGATACACGGCGCAGCTAGACGGTACCACTCTGGAGTGTGACGCAAGGACGGCACTCGAGGAGTATTTGGCAACATATCCAAGAGCTTAGCCACCCGGGTGGTACACCAGTTCTGTCGATAGGTCGAGGCACAAGGCCGGGAGAGGATATGGAAGGAGCGATGCAAGTCTGTGATCGAGTGGGAGCACGGACGGGGGATCACACGAGAGGACAAGTCCTGGCGCCAGATATATGGACGCGCACCACGTGAAGGGGAATGCCTCTGTTATACTTTGAAGAGGAACAACTATCGTCTTCAGACATTGTGATCCTGGAGGGAATCTTACCCTTATTCACATTGCTATCTGTTTGTACCTTTTTCATGATAGCATTCTTACGCCCTCTGTTTGTTTATCCCATCCTTTTTCATGCACGCCCTCCGTTTGTCAGTCCCTCTCATTTTTTTCGAGGGTTCCACGAGTCGCAGTGGGACCTTGTTTATGGGCTCTTCCTCATTCAATTTTAAAGCGCGCTCCTTTGTGCCCTCCGTTTTTGTCCCTCATGTTATTTTCCTCCATCCTTTTTCATGCGGGCTCCCTTACCCCCTCTGTTTGTTTACCCCGTCTCTTTTTCACATCAGCTCCCTTATGCCCTCTATTTGTTTACCACATCCTCCAGTTGGACGCGGCTTGTCTAGGGGTACTCCTGGCAAGTACCTCTGATTCCCAGGCCAGTACTTGCTAGGAGCTAATTGTCTAGACACCGCCCGGTTGTAGGCTTCAGCCTTTTTGCCCTCTTCATCTTTGCCTCTTTGCATTCGTCTTTGACATTCCGACCCATTCACATTCCATTCCTTAAACAATAAAGTTGGGCTGTTGTTTGAACGTTAGACAATAGAGTTGGGCCGTTGTGGTCGGTAACTTTTGGTTCCAAAGAAACATGTGCAAAGCGAAAGGCAGATCAAAATGAAAAGCAAAGACAAAGAGAAGGACTCATGTGAAGCAACATAAGCAACTTTGAAATAAGTATAAATATCTCCAGGTTTGCAATTAGTTTTTCTGCTTTGTTCACTTAAAACCTCAGCTTCATTTTCCGATCCGCTCAAGCCATTTCAAGAACCGCCCCATACGAACCATCTCCTTCACAGCATCGTCTTCAGATCGCCACAGACCCGTATCAAGAACGCCACAAGAGTGCCTACAGAAGATCGACATTGACAGAACAACCCATTATTTCCTGTAAGCCTCATTATTGATCTTCTACATTACATTAAGGGGGTGTGGTTATTATCCATTACCGACAACCATTCATCTAAAACGAAAGCGTTATATTAATTAATAAGAGTTTAAACCATTTTATATGCACTAGAAAATGCTTGTGAAAACTATCCTGGCTCTTACCATTGTGATTACACATTTCTGCACTGCGGACTCGAGGATTACGTTCTATGAAAACGTAGATCGAGATGACTGCTGGAAATCTTGCTTTGTCCAGGGTTACAACTGGTGTCATAGGATGCCTGTTAATGGAGCTTCGTCTGCCGTGTATGAACAACTAGACACGCAGCAATCAGACCTCACAGTGACTATGTTTTCAGGAGATAGTTGCAATGGTGACTGGTTTCAGTGGGAGTTCAGGAGGACAATGTGGGAAGCACCCTACAAGATTAATTCCTTTAACCAGCTGAATGATAGAGTTAGAAGTTATAGGGTTGCAAACTACAGAATGCATACTGGGTATGGACCACATTCAAATCCTGATCCTGACGTTAAGGCTGTAAGGTGTGATGAATGGTGTTGATAGATTTTATATATATTATTAAAACAAAAGCCAAACTCCACCGACCAAGTATAGCACTGATTTCCCAGGTTTTCTGCACCATGCCCAACTTTTCGCACTCCCAATCCCTCCACCCCCCTCGCCCTCACGAACCAGGTTCCAATGGTTCGCCCCCCTTCCCCCAAACCTCTCCCAACCCGGGAGCGCACGGCGACTCGTATAGCGATCGCGTTCGCAAAGGTCTTGGAACCCAGTGAACCTTCCGACACAGAGGTGTATGTCAACAAAGAACACCCGCACCATGTCTATGCGACCCACTCGTACCCAGCTACCATCCCTACCCTGGCACCATTTCCTACACAAGCATCCCCCGCAACAAGAGCGTTTATGAACTCCTCGACGCATGCAAAGATACTGAACCGGGTGCCCAGCGCGGGTGCACGCTGAGCTATAATCACGTGTGTCACAGTGGACTAAGAGTACATAAGGACTTTTCGTCCCTGAATAAACAGACCCCTCTCTTTGTTTCGTTATTTCTAATTTCCATACATTATTACACCCGGTTAATATTTTCCACACGCGTCTTCCATTTTTTTTTTTTTTTTTTGGCACAAAGTCCAGCGGAGTGAAACCTTTTCCAATCTTACAGCCCAAGGGCCTTTCGATCCAGGTGCGGGTACAGGAAATTGCTGCCTTCTAGGCCCACTCGAGGTGGCAGGCGCAGTCCTCCCATAATCATCGAGCGTACTAAGGTGATCAAGCCTTTTCGTCTCTCGAGCAACCTGGTTATAGCACCACTATGTTTTCTGCACGTTAGCTTAGGCGAGTCGCATGGGATTTCTTAGGCTTGACCACTGTATCTGAGGACATATGTGACGGATAGGCACCAGCCGAAACTGGTAGTGTGGCCAGTCTACTAAAAACACTCCCTAATTAATGACCCGGCGGGTGGGACTGCAGTCCCTGCCATACCATCAGGCGTCGGCTACTGGTGAGAAGTGTTGTATTACATCTTCTAGTTTTTTGTTTGAGGTTATAAATGCCTTAGGAGGTGCCGCTGTGGGAGTACTAGACTATCGGTGCGTTCCTAAGACTACTTGAACTTCTGCGTATTACCGCGTTATTATTCTCCCACCACGAAGCTTGTTTGGTTTAGGCCCTTAACTGGCAACAGGGGGACGATACACACAATTTGTGGCTGAGTTTGACCGAAAAGGGTAGAGGGAGTCCTTAGGGTCCCCACTCGGGGGGAGAAGGTCAGGTTTTGAACCTGAGTCTCCTGCGTTACCCGCAGGTATTCTTCCAACTAAACTACCTCCACACCTTTAAGCAATACTCTTTCTGAAAAGTAGGGCTGCATTCATCGCCGCTTGTAATAGGCGCAGAGCAAGGGACAAGAGGCAAGGGTTATAGCAAGGGAAAGAGGCAAGAGGGTGATGGGACAAGAGGAAAGGGTAGAAAGGAATGAGGTTTATTGTACAGAAGGGACAGGGTATTTATACGTCTATGATGTGAGGGATTGTGGCGAGGTAATAATAAGCAGGGTAGTGTGTAAGACAGACACACAAGATATTAATAAGGAAGTAAGGAACAAGGCAACCAAAAGCAGGAGGCAATCTACGATCCTGTTACACCGCTCTTAATCAAAAAGTGTTGCATCTTTATTTCATCTGTTGCGCACACATTGTGAAAGAAGGTGCCCTGGAGCGACCAAGGACCCACGAGATGCTGACGAGCGGTTGTTGGAGAGTTTGTTGGGAAGGAGAAAGTTGTCGATGATGGAGAGGATGGGAAGAGTCCCCTTCATTGGTATCTAGTTTTATTTTCTTTCGTTTAAGCTGTGAAGAGCAGCGACAATTGTTGCGCAGAGCCAG